TTTTTTTTTTTTTTTTGTTTGGTTTTTAGTTGTAAAATTCCCGCGGTTTGCGGGGTTGGGAAGCTCCCTGCGGGGAGGTGTCTGCGCCAGGAAGCGGGTGGAGTGGGAGAAGGAAGGAGAAAGGTGGGAAGGGGAGAGGATATCCCGGCTGCATGGGGGTATCGCCCGCAACGGTCTCCTGTTATCCACGCAGGGACGTGTGAGGAAGCTGCTTGTGTGCCCAGGGCTGAAGGCCCAGGGATAAGTACAGCGAGTAGAGGAGCAAAGCGAGTCCACATATCCCGTTTTGAGTTTGAGTCTGCCCGGAAAGGCCAGGGTGGGTGGTGTGGGGTGTCAGTGGAGCCCTCATTTGTGCTTGCAAAATGCCACCTGTCTGCCGTGAGAACATGATTGCTCTGTGAGGTTTGTCTCTATTTGATAATAGTCTGGTAATTCAGCTAATAAACTTGGATGCTTACTACACTTGGAGGAACAGTGATGTTCTGTGGTTGATATTCTGCAAGTTTTCAAAACTGTAGTGTTAAATGGTGGAGCTGGTTATTTCTACTGTGCTGCTTCACACCCTGATTGCATTTGCCCTCTTCACTATGTGGCTGTTTTATTTATACTAATCTTGTGTGTTCTTTCAGTGGCAGTGGCCCCTGGTCAAGGTATCATAGATGACCTGAAAGTTTGGGTACACAGTATTTTCAGATGCAGAGCACTAGTTAAGAAATTATTAGCAGTTTATAATGACTCTAAGGACTAAAATTACACTTTGATCTTTATGATTTTATTGTCTCATTACTTTCTGTGCTTCAAAGAGTCTCTTGTTTCTTGTACTTTGAGCTCTCTCCCTCCGGTTACCCCAGCCTATTTTGTAGATAAGATAAATTATGGAAAATTAACATTCAACTATTGCATTTCCCTTTTCTGCTTAGGCTTGAATTGTTTTATTTACAATATTGGAGTTGAGCAACATAGCTAAATCCTTGAAGATGATGACAGAGATTACACTATTTTCCGCTACTGTCAGGAATGCTGTTCAGTAGCTTAGGAGAGAGTTGATTTGAAGCCTAAAGAGATAGAGGCTATATAAAGAGAGACGATCTGGCGAAACAGAAGGATTTAAAGTTGCAATCTTGGTAGGAATAATTTGTCCTCCTTTACAAAGAGTGTAAAGTAGTCAAGATATTTAACAACCAGTAATTAGTGAGACCTCGTTGCTGCCAAAGCTTTTTGCCTGAAGTGCTAATGTGTCATATTATTTTGCCATAACCAGCTTTTTGCAGCTTTTTATTCTTTAATTATTATTTTTAATTAAGTCATTCTTCTTGCAGCACAATTTATCACTGCACATGCCTTCTTATCCATATGATTTTAACCTTGAGAAAGAGGTAGTTATTTATATATTTTAGCACTGCATGTTTGGGTCAAACATACACCTTTTCTAAGAGACGAGAAAAATAATAGTAGGAGATAATTCCAGGCAACCTTCTTAAGCTTGGATTACTTTGTTTGTTTTTTGCCATCGAGGTGGTACTATACATTTTTGGATGGATTGTAACATATGTAGAATCTCCAAGGTCATTTATTCTGTAATCATGTAATATGACAAGTTGATATGGTTGGAAAGAAGGTTGTAATTGCCTCCCTAAATGCCCTCCCCTCTTCTGTCTAGGCTTATGATTGCCATGGCTGCGGTGGATCGTTTCTCCCTCTTGTACAGGGAGATCGGCCGTACCTGCAATTTTTACATCGAGGCCCTAGCGATCATTGGAGCTTGGTACACGGCTAGGAAGTTCATCAGTTTTGCTTTGAACAGCTACAGTCTCCTCCGGCTCCATTTCCTTCCAAAGGTGGTTGGCGAGATTGATCTTGTCAAGCGCTATGGAAAGTGGGCTGTAGTAACTGGTAAGTGACTCAAGCAAGTATATTTACTTATGTTTACATAACATGTATCTTCAAGGAAGAGTTAATCTGACTCCTGAAATGGGTTATTAATCTCTCTTCCCTACCAATCACGCATGAAGAAACCTCTTACCAGAATTTGGAAGTTCTGTAAAAGTCATTATCTTACTTTGCTGGGTAAGTTTATGTCACAAGCTGGGATTTGTATTAACTCAGGCTGCAGCTGCAGAATGAACGCAATTTAATTTGAACGACTGTCATCTAGAAGACAGTTAAGCTCACTGTAGTGATTGTCTGCTACAGCTTTTCCCTAAAATTGTAAGGTACACCCAAAACGCATATGGGCAAGCATAAGAATACACAGCAAAAGTACATAGAGATGCACCTGGGAGCACTATGGCATTTGTGCGGGTGCTGAATTCTGAGCAATGTTTAAGTTTGCATCTCTGACATCCTTCTTGTTTGTTAAACTTCTACTGTAAGTGCTCTGCTGTTGTCATTGAAATGTTTAAGTCTCTCGAGAGGGCGTTGCAGAAGGTTCTTGCTGACGGTGTTGTCCTCAGTGTTGTCCTCAGCTGTCCTCAGGTTTTAAGATCAGTGTGTTCAGGGTGGTGTCCGCTTCAGAGAAGGCAGTAAAACTGTAATTAAAAGAACTGTAGAAACAGAAGACGAGGCTTGCTCTAATCTTTGCAATTTTCTATTCCAGGTAGCACAGATGGCATTGGGAAAGCATATGCTGAAGAGCTGGCCAGGCGAGGTGTCAACATCATCTTAATCAGCCGCAGCAAGGAGAAGCTGGAGGCTGTATCTCGAAGCATAGCTGAAACCTACAAAGTGGAAACAGATTTCATAGTAGCTGACTTCAGCAAGGGGCGTGAGGTTTACCTCCCCATTAAGGAGGGCCTGAAGGACAGAGAAATTGGAATTTTGGTGAATAATGTAGGATTGTTTTATACCTATCCGGACTACTTTACCAACATGACAGAGGATTTGATGTGGGACATGATGAATATTAATATTGCTTCTGCTAACATGATGGTCCATATTGTGCTGCCAGGCATGTTAGAGAAGAAAAAGGGGGCAATTGTGAATGTGTCTTCTGCATCCTGTTGCCAACCAACACCAATGCTGACAGTGTATGGAGCCTCTAAAGTAAGTTGGAGTGTGATGTTTAATGGTATATGTTGAAGAGTAGAGCTATGGGTTTTCTGGATTTTTTTTCTTCCCTAAAACGTGTTCAATGGGAATATCAAAATAATTGAAACTTTTCTAGGGACTTACCAAATGCCAGTGTATTATGCAGTCAGCATACTGCTTTATCACAGTAACAGGAATTTCTTATCTCTATTCCCCATCTGTGCTGTGCAGAGATGTCTCAACATACTTACAGATTAGTGTTTGGTAGCAAGAGGGGCTACGCTTATGGTTCAGCCACTGCTGTGGTAAGTGCTGCAAAAAGGCAGCTTTGTCTGTGAGATTGGGGCAATTGGTGCACACTGAGTGGGACAAAAGGCAATAATCATTACCTGAGCCATGTTTGGGAAGTAGTGAAAAGGACTTTTTTCCCATAATTATTCTTCCTGAGGAGAGTGGGGCAGTAGTTAATAGGCTGGGACAGTTGGATGGTGCTGGAAGCCTGTATGTGTGTGGGGATGCAGACACGTTGGATGATTTGCTGCTGAATCTTCAAAAGCAATTGGGCTTGTATACAAAGTTGCTTCTAACAGCCCTGTTTCTCCTGTGGTTCTTGTGAGCTCTTCCTTTTGCCTGAAGCAACAGCAACTGTGTTACCCCAGAGTATAACTCCTTGAAGATTTTTTTTTAAGTGTTGAAACTGGCTTAAAAAGAACTCCCGCTCTCTCTGCAGAGCATCTTTCTCTTGGTTACGCAAAGTGCATCTACAACTGCACTCAGACCACATCAGATAAGTGGCCTGAATGAAATAAAACAAAATCCAAAGCCTACTATTTTTTTCTTACCATCATTAATTTAAATCCTCGGTCAGCAATCTGGCTTAAAGCATGGCCTCTCAACAAGCACTATGGCATTCTAAGCTTTCTTGTGGGCTAGTTGTGTAAAATGTTTGAAGTGGTTGGTTTGGGCTTATTTCTTTTGATTCTTGTTGGTTTTTGCCCAAGGTAGTCCCAGCAAGTAACTAGTCCGGTTTCTGGAGAGGACCATTTGAACATGAAATTCACTTGTCCAGTTCTTTAACATATTTTACTTCCTGTTGTCCTTTTGACAGTGGTAGGCATAGTTAGCCTTTGAGCACCCTCTGTATAGTCCCCAAGCTAAAGAAGTTCTTTGTTTTGGGTGAAACTAATGTTTCCATAGTGTTTTTAACCAGAAATTGCCAGATTTGTTTTTTTGATAAATGCACATCAGAGAGGGAAGTTATTACCTTTTCCTGTAAGTTACTGAAATACTGCAAGGTTCTTGCAAACAAATGTCAACAAATAGAAATACTGTGTGTGTGTGTGTATATGTGTGTATGTGTGTGTGTGTATATATATATATATATATTTGGCCTATGCCCATGCATATGCCAAAACTTTGCTGTAGTTTTGAAAAAACTCTGCACTGAGACTTAACTGTTATAAGCACAAAACTGAGGCAGCTATTTTGCTTTTGTTTCCCTAGGCCTACTTGGACTATTTCAGTAGAGCACTACATTACGAGTATTCCTCAAAAGGGATCTTCATCCAGAGTTTAACTCCATTCGTAGTTGCTACAAAAATGGTACCGCGCGGTAGTGTTGGATCAAAAAGATCTTTCTTTTTTCCTTCTGCTGAAGAATATGCGAGTCAAGCAGTTTCTACTCTTGGCCTGTCCAAAAGGACTACTGGTTACTGGAAGCATGCAATGCAGGTAAAAGAATTCATTAGAATCTTTTGTGTTAGCCAGGAGAAGTAAGAGATTTACTTTCTTAGAAGTCAAGACAGGAACTGTGGAAATATTTTGAAAAAAAAATACAGTACATAGCAAAAGACTTAACAGCATTGCCCCATGTTTACTTATTTCACTTTAGTAAATTATGCTTGGGCATACTGTTTTTAAAGATGAGAGAGAATCTGCTTTCTACTGGAAATCCACAGCAAAAGTAGCAAATGGGTTTTTATTCAAAAGCACACTTTTTTTTTGGGGGGGGGGGGGGGGGAGGTAATGTTGCTGATCAGGCCTGCATTTCATTGTGTATTTTTGAAGAGAAGATGCATTTTGTTGAATCTTAGTTTATATCTCATACATGTTTCAGTGCTTTAGTGGTAATTTGTTTGATTTAATCAAAAAAATACTAATCTTCCCTTTCCTCCTTCTCTCTTCTCGTCTCCCTGCCTGTCTCCACAGTTCACACTGGGTGAACACCTACCCGAGTGGATCTGGGCATGGGGCGCGAAGTTTTTGGCCAGAATTGTACGCAAAGAAGCTTTAACAAGCAAACTGAAGTAGGAATATCCAGATGAGAAGTGATCTGAGTGCTGCAAGACTGTTTAGAGTACTCTGAATTTAGTGAAGACTACATTTTGCTTGTTTGTTTGTATTAAATAGTTCCACTTTTTTCATCTAGGACAAACAGCTGGTCTTGTTGAGGAAAATCTTGGTACACCTTGTCTTTAATGAATTTGGACAAGAACATGTAGAGTTGTAATTCTGATCATGAATGTCTCTTGCATCATGCTAAATGATTTCAAATTAAATCAACAGGATTCAAGATTTCTCCAAGCCTTTCAAAAATGGGCCCCAGAGAGATCCAAAATCATGCTGCTTAAAAAGAGCAATCCCAGTTAACTGATAAGTTTCTATAACATACAGCTTAGTGAACTTTTCTGGTCTTTAGACTGTAAATGTTCATATGCTTCAAATGTACAAGTTTAGTCTTTTTGATTTTGTTGTTCTTGTTTTGCTTTTTTGAATGATGTTAATTTAAGGTACTTCTTGAAATTCAGGTGTATAGAAAGTTGTTAAAATGACTGAAAAAGTCATACAGAGCTGTAAAGCAATTTGGAGATATATTTGTTTGCTTCCTTATTCCAAGCATGAATGCTCTTGATCATGCTTTAAATACTCCTTCAGCAATCTGAAACATGTCTGGAGCATTGAGTAAAGACTGTAGAAACAGATTAGCTGAAGAAAAATAACAAATAACTTAATCTTTTGGTTTAAATAAACCGATTGTCTTTCCTAAGAGAATAAAAAAGTTATTAAAAGTCTTGGTGCTTCAAGATTTTGATGCTTTTATGTATAGATATACCTAATAATATATTATTTGTTTATATTATATATATTCATGTGATCATCTGATACCACGCATGAGTTGCAGACTAAATCTCTGGAAGTCAGAGATTTAGGTCTCTTCTGTATATTTGTAATTACTATGTGAATAGTTATTCTTCATCCTTTTCTATTTTATCAGGGAATCATTAGTTCTCCTCCTGTATTGAAACCCTCCACACTAACTGTATAGCTGCTATCCATGGCTCTGTGGATCGAAGTATCCTTCCCCTTTCTGCTATTCCACCATTCATTGTGGCGCTGTATTGTATGACAGCGACAGGGTGGGTTAGGTCAGTAAATTTCTATCTCTTGTTCATTAAAATCCCTGCACCCAGAGCTGGGAGGAACTGTGTGCTTTTTCCCTAAACGCTGCACTTGTGATTGCGAAGTGGCTTTCCTGTAGCTCCTCCACAAGAACGTTGCCCTGGTGATGTTAAATTCTGCACGTGTATCATTGCCCCCCAGAAATTTTTCATGGGATTGGGTTTTGTACCTTCATATATAATTATTTCTATGCAACCTTTTTATAAAATTCTGAGAGGTAGCACTTGGCATCTTAACAGGAGCTATTAAAAATTTAGATGTTGAATAGACTGAAACTGTCCCCAGCCTTCGGGATCACGGCGCTCTCGTAAGGGAGCCCGTAGCCTCGAGCCTCGCTTTTCTGAGAGCGACCCAGCTCTGTTCGCCCCTTTCTGAGGATAATTCCCCTCCGGGCGTCCTTGGCGGCAGTACCGTCGCGGCAGCGGGCCCGTTTCGCTAGCAGTGTAGCACGGCAGTGTTTTAGCGTGCGGTTTTTTTGCGCCTCGCTTTTTCTTCCGCCGGTAACGGCGCGGGTTAC